AGTCTTCAAAAACACAATGCACTTGAAATCATATGTACTAAAAGTACAATTTACCAAGAGTTACCAATTAATAACTAACTCTTGCATATTGTTTTCCTCTTACAGGCATTTTTTTATTTATTATCAGAAAATAGAGACATATGGCATATTGGAGTTTTGTCACATTTGGCATCGGCGTTACCAATTAATAACTAACTCTTGCATATTGTTTTCCTCTTACAGGCATTTTTTTTATTTATTATCAGAAAATAGAGACATATGGCATATTGGAGTTTTGTCACATTTGGCATCGGCTTGGAAGACACAGCCGTAAAGTTCTTCCATCTTGTGTGGTTACAAAAAGCAGAGAATCCTTTCCATCAGAGGAATATGTTGGCTTCAGATATGCCACACCATATAAATTATTGGATTTCAAAAAGCGTGATTTGTGTTTTTTGGCAATTTCATCTCTTGTAAACTGTTTATATGATGCTGTGAGTGGTGGTGGATATTAAGAATTCCTCTTTATGAACATGTATGCTTCTGTGGATGTAGACAAGTCCTGCTTTAAGTCCAGCATCACCTGCTTCAAGAGTGTATCATAACCTTAAAAAATAAAAATGCACCAAGATATGAAATCAATAAACCTTTCAGATTTGGAACTATTACACTAGTCAAAATGATAGAGTAACCTGTGTCCTAACATTGTGAAATTAAATAAAATTTATTACATGAGCTATAAATGTATTTAATTATTTGGAGATTTATTTTTCCTAATTACTTATAGGGCTGGATTATCCATTAAGCACACAAAGCACATGCTTATGGCCCAACATTAATTAAACATTACTTAAACATCAAATTAAGTCTTCATGATAAAAGTATGATTTTTCAATCAGCATCTACAGGTATTTTGTTTGAATTTTGTTTTTAGCTTTTAATAGTGATTTTCTTTTCAAATTTCACATTTTGTAGGTGTGTGGGGGATCTACCTATTTCAGTGCTTAGGGCCCTTGTAGGTCTTAATCCATCACTGATTACTTGTTTACACTGGACCTTACATTTATACATTAAAAATATCTCTTGTCAATCTACATTTGACATTTATCATCCCTGAGAAATTGTGACAGCATGCCACCAACATATTAAGTCAAAATCTTACCAAAGGTTGGCTCTACTTTGCAGGGCTTTACAACAGTTGCCATCCCTTTTTTTGTTTTTTTGATAAACAACTCTCCACTGCACCTGGTCAGTCTTGGTCACTGCATATGCAAGGTTTGAAATTTCATTATAGTGCAGGGTAGCTAGATGCAACCTGTAAGGAATAAAATTAAAATAGAAAACACCATTCAGAATAAAATGGTCAGTGATTCTTGTTACTTACTGAGCTGGTTTTACAACCAGAGTAGGCAGGTAGGGTTTTTTTCAATTTAATTTTTAAAGACTGTATAGAATATAATGATTAATATCTAATATATTATGAGTTTCAAAGTACTGGGCAAAAATCAATTTCTGCAACAGTATTTTTTTATCACCATGGGGGAAACAAATGCTAGGACCAGCTGACTGGAAATACATGTTCTCATTTTTGCCTAACTTAATAGTATACTAGTTACCTTGCAAGCATGGATCCATAAAAGAAGTGTGTGCTCTTGGGTGCACAAGGTTCCCCCCCACACACATATATATATTTCTGATTGGCAAAAATTCTTGATAAAATTATGGCAAAATCTCATTCTGTTTGGTTATACCTCATGTATGCACACAGCTAGAATCAGTAACTGGATACTGAAATAGAATAATGTAAGCATATATAAACTGTTCTATACATATCCTTGTTGTAAACATACCATCCTTCAACCACTTTCTTTCTTCCAAAATGGGATCTTGTTCACATCTGCCTAAGATAGTAGAATGGTCCTCATGCTTGTCTGCGATGCAGTTCAGTGATTCCCATTTGGCAACTTTAAGCTTACCATTGTCCTCACAAGAAGCTGCAACCCAGCAAAACAACCCCTCCCCAAACACCCCAGAGTATTATTGACAAGAGCATTTGTAGCATCTATTGATTATTTTCAAAACATTTGAGTAGTCGCATGGCAACAACAGATGCATTACATATATGACTCCACACAAGGGGAAAAGTGGGGGGGGGACAAAAAAGTTTATCCCATATCATAGCCAAAGGTTCATATTTATCAGGTGATGGTGAAATTAATCATTCCACTCTATTTTAAATACATAATATTATTAAATTACTCTAATGTTAACATCATAAACATTTCTTTCTGCGATATGTATGTTCTAGTAATATACAATGTATGCAACAATTCATAACTCCCTAGCACATGGGTGGGGACTGTATATGATGTTGGAGAAGCATGAGAATCTGAGTTGAACAAAGCTCTGTTATGCAGATATTATTGGCTAAATACCTCAGTTACATTATGGACCCTAAATTAATGGAAATTAGAGTGCATACAACATATTTATTTACCTCTGCATTCTGCCTCTCGTTATAGGCTCCTCTTACTCATTGCGGTTTGAGAGTTGATGTGCACTGGCACTCAGATCTGTCAGTAGATCAAACACACCCACTGCCAAGGGGTAGAAGAATGTCTTGTAATGCTGTTGGCGTCAGTCTTGCTATGGTATTTAAATATCCTAATTCTGCATGTCTTTCTGAATCAACTTCATATTGATATTTTGAAAAATGCAGGCTGCAAAGCCTACGAGTTATCAGCTCAATAGTTCTCATGGCAACAGTAATGGATCCAAGCATTTTGTCAAATTTTGTCTTTCAGAAATCAAACAATTTACCAATCAAATTATTGTCACATCCAAATGCTGCACAGACCCTGGGGCATCTCAGAAATTCTTGGAAAAACAAACCCAAATACAAGCACTAATAAGCTCTCTACTCTCAAGCACAATGAATCAACAAGATGCTGAGCAATGGCCGATAGCTGAAATAGAATCTGTGACGTCACGTGAATTCAGCCTCGTTTATACTTGACAAATATGTATATCGGAACATTCATGCAATTAATTCCCTATAATGTACAGTAAATCGTTTTTATTGTAACTGGGTTGCCCCAAACTATAATTTAATTTTTCTTGGGCAACAAAACGAGCAATATAACCACAACATTAATTGTATGTTTTCTATTCCTTTAATGATATAAAGCAAGGGTCATGGTTTCTAATCAAAGCCATAACTGTCACACCTGCCTGAAGTGGTTTCGTGTGTAACGATGTCTACACTGACAAACGATCATATTGGCAACCAAATGAAGTGAAATTTGTATCAGTTAAATTAATGGCAAACACGCTGTGAATTTTACTTTAAAGCAACACAGCAGATCTTCTTAGACTGTGTCTGAAAACATACGTAGTAGGAAAATTATAGTGGAGCAACAACCCAAAAATTGCAAGGCATTTAGATATATTTTCTCCCCAAAATGGTGTCCAAAAACTGTGTCTGAAAACATGCAGTAAATAGAAGCTAAACTAAGACTACTGCAAAAAGTACTAGCTATATGGCATTTTTAGTCTCAAATTACTGATTTAAACCTGAGGAAACAATTCAAAATTAAATAATTGCAGCAGTGCTACACATATATTACTTATGTACTCCTTCTTTCTTTGTGATTTCCTTCATACATACTGCATATTAAGCAATATAAAATACACACACTGTTGCAAACAGGGTAAATCTAAATCTGTGGCTACATTACATGCCAGATCAGGATCTACACTGCTTGCTTGAAAAGAGCAGTGGCAAAGAAAAACTATATCGACCCAAGGGAGATAATTCTGGGTCTAGTCATATCCACTGAACAGCTATTGACGAAACAATCATTTCACTTCTTTTGTCTAGAATAGGATGATTAGCTGGTATTCCCTGACCGTCCGATTATCTGATTACAGTACTGAGGTCTTTTTTGAAGAGCATTTATTAAACAAGAATGTATAGAATTTTGAATACACAGGGAACTCACCTTCTCGCTTCATACCCATTTCCATACATTTCTGAAATCTACATGCCTGGCAAGTGTTGCGTGTAAATTTGTTGATCATGCATTGGCCTTTATCTTTACAATTATAGATTAGATTTTTCTGGACAGTTCTTTTGAAGAAACCTTTACATCCTTCACAAGAAAATACAGAATAGTGGTACCCTGATCCTCGGTCACCACATACCAGACAGGCTGACGTTTGGTCAGAGTCAGAGAGAGGCTGACAGTCACCACTCTGAGCATCACCTTTGCCAGTATGGAGATAGTGCATCTTTGACCTAGGGGAATCAAGTCCAGCCTGTGAATCTGGATCATTAATTGTCAAGACTGAAACGTTGTCAGTGGAAAATGTAACGACTGAATGTCCATCTGCACTCTCTATCTGTATCATTGGAATATTTCCAAGGCTGTCATCAACATCCTGGGATGAGCCTGCTGAACTGTGCATTTCGGATCTATCCATCATCATATAGAATTGTTGAAGACAAATTAGAGCCAGCAAGTAGACCTGTTCAGCAATCCTGACATGAAACTGAAAGTGAGAAAAATTAAGAATGTAACTATATGCAGCATTAAAAAGTAACAGACAAAACTTTGTCAATGATCACATAGTGTAATTGATAAGTCTCTATATTGTCACAGCTGATGAACTGAAAGTACTGTAGTATGAATCGTATCCAAGAGAATAATTTTTTATAAGAATTATTAAAATTACCAGGGCTTCAGTGAAAATTAATGTATCTGTTTGAGATTTGGATTTTGTGTGCGTATGTATGTAAGATTTGGACTTAATGTAGCTTAAACAATTTTACAGTCATACTGCTTCAATGTCTGTGGTGTGGCAGTTTATAGTGATGTCTAGCACTGGGGCATAGTGCCACAAAGCATGATGTTACACCTAGTCACATTATCCTGACACCATGCTGACCAGTCCTAACACTAACCTCTTAATGCTAAGCACTTAGCAAGGCAGCTGTTAGTATCATTTTTATGTCTTTGGCATGTCTTGGCTGGGGTTCAAACCCACAACCTCCTGCATCTAAGGCAGACACTCTAACCAATAGGCCAATCGAGCGGTTGAATATACACCTGTTTAGTGTAAAACCAAATTTGCATGAAAGTTTTTATAAAAATTGCGTTGGTCAGATCTTTGTTACCATGACAATTTGTTTTATTGATGCTGATTTGGATTAGCCACAAGACAATTACTACCTAACACAAAAAAGGAAAAAACATTGTTACAACATGACTGCATTATGACAGTGACCTGAGTTATTCTCTATTGGTCCAAGTAAATATAAATTTTAATTGTCTAACTTCAATGATAGGTATCCTCAATGTCAATGACAGATATTCTTACTGGTACTGATAAGGCAACATCACTGTCACTGATCGGCACCCTCACTGTCCTATGGAAATGCTATGCAGTGTTCATATATCAAACTATCAAAGGGAACAAAAAAATCTTACCATTTCCTGGGTGATTCTGACCACATTACTCAATACTTCAATACTTCACCCTAAATACGAGTCAATCAAACAGAATGTTGGGTAAAAAATCTGGTTTCATGGGGTTTATTGCTATTTTCAGCAGATTACAGATTACATACAATAGACAGTATATCTGGCAGAAGATGAGCCATTTAAGTCACTGGGAAGAACTGATCCACAAGTAGCTACTGGCAAGCTTACTCACATACCCATGAGTCAATACTCAACTCAACAGATGAGATGCCTGAGTGATCCATAACGGCTGAGTGATACAATAAACTAGTACTAAAGCTAAGATCTACAACATTACAAAGTTCTAAAGACACAACAGTTAAACACAATTTACAGATCAATAATTTCCATAAAACTCTACAATGAAGATATAATTGCTGACAAAAACGACCTGCACAAAGTTTTGATTTTGGGAGTCTCTATCATCTATGTACCAACCAATTAATATCACACACTGATTTATCAAGTATTTTTGTATGAGGTATTCCAACATTCTCTCCACTGTGCATATTTTAATTGCAAACAACTTCTCTTACATACATCACTCACTCAAAAGTACATAACTGGTGAGCGCCACCTGTAACAGCCATCTCAGATTAATTCTAACTTTAAAGAGTAAAAATTCAAACAACCAATAATTATGGACAATGATGAATATTAAAAAAAAACTTACATGTGACATGTATATTTTTGTATTCATTTTTCCCCAATTGTATCGATATGTTTACCATTATAGCAAAAGTACTGATGTATCAATATATTGATCTATGAAGGTCTAACTATAATTAACGATAGTTATAGGAGTTATTTCAGGGCACTCAATTTAACATCACAACATACAACATTCAAGTTGGTTTGTACTGAATCACACCATCTAGCTGACATTATCCAAACCTTTAAAAATTTAAAACATCAATCCATGAATATTCAGTTTTGGTACTTCAAAAATCTCTTGTATCCTTTATAACTCATTCTTTAGAATTGCAAAAAATCACTGACAAATGACAAAAAGTTACAGGAGATGCTTTTAATTTCAGTTATGATTCTTACCAGATCAGCGGGTAATTACTGCTCAATGTGAAACTTTTTATAACTCAATACAGTATTATAAATGATATTACTGAATGCAGTCAGCCAATGTGAGTCACATTGCCATCACATGGCAGCAGACTGGCTGTCTATTATAAATTAATTTTCCACCAGAATAGTTAGCAAGGCTTGAGAATCATGTTGCCATACAAACAAAGTGAATAATCACCATTTAAAGGTATGCATAATCAAACTTATTTTTTTAAAAAATACGCCCACTATTGATATAGTAAGCATCTACATAATCTGTATTGTGTGAACTGTGATCAGATGAAACTAAACCAACCCAAATCTACACCAAATGCACCTTGAATATGCATAATATACAAAGTGCATGTTCTTTAGGATTCATAGATTACACAAAAGTATAAGATGCATCAATAAATGGGAAGAGAGTGTCAGTTCCTTACATAAAATAGTTCTAAGTAAAAATTTCTAAATGAAATCAGAAAATAAACTAAATCAGTTATGCCTTTAGAATCATTTTTAAACAAAAATCATTTTCAGATGTTTCATAAAACAGGGCAGTTACATATAGGTACCATATAACTCTATCAAGCATTTATGTGTTTCATAACCCATGACTTTTGAGTTTTCATGCAAATCATGTTTTCTTTGCATTCTAATACTTAAATATAATATTATTCCATGTATTAACATGATAGCAAAATATGCTTTATTATTATTACTGAATTATTATCCTGTCAGTTAAATCTAAAACATTTAGCAAATATTAATTAAATGTAAAAAAAAAAATAAATTAAAATCATATATTAAATCCATTAATTAAAATTAACCTAGTACTGATTTAACCAAAATATGAAATATATGTTGATAATGTGTCTAATTACAGTGGCTACAATCAATTCAGTGTCAGTAATTTGGAAAAATAAAAAGTCATTAAAACCGTTGATATAAACAGTTATCTTTATAAACATAGTAAGATGCATACATTTTTTTATGGCAGTGTTATTGTTGTTCTCACAATAGTCATGACAAAATGTATTATTTATAAATATATAATAAATAATATATCTAAATATAAATTAATTTAATCATTCACTGATTGCCTAATATACCACTTCAGGAGCCAAGGGGGATGTGGGAGGTTCCAGGTTCCAATGCCAGCCAAGTCACAACAATGACTTATAAAAAAAATGGAATAGCTGCTGCCTTGCTTGCTGCCCAGCATTAAGAAGTTAGTGTTAGGACTGGTCGGCCTGGTGTCAGGATAACATGACTGAAAGGGACATGATACTACATGTCTGCAGCATGATGCACCAGTGCTCAAAATCACTATTAGCTGATATACTGCAAACATCACAGCGTTGTGACTAAAGCTACATTAACAAAATGTAAATCACATACACACTCAAGATATTAAATATCATGGGTCCAGAGAGGACATCTGTGACATTAGCAATCAATTAGCACTCAGTGATGGATGGAGAAAATTTGTATTAAACATGAACAATCATTTCTTGTGACTTAAATGTAATTAACATTAATTTTGAAACATTTATTTGTGTGTGTGTCAAAAATTAAACAATTCATGTCACTGACAGTCCAATTCATATTAAACTCTTACAAAATATATTGATTTTGTGAAAGTTCATGCCAAAGAATGAATACTGAGTTAGTATTCATGAACACTGGGAATTAAACTACAGAAACAATAGAGCATTTATCACAGAACTGAATTTCATTGCAAATTCAGGTGTAACATACAAGTACAAATGATAATTATTTAATAGTATGGTGATGTTGTACTACTCACCATTAGCATCAGTGACCACATAAATGAAACCATGTGTACCCTTACAGTAACTCCCTTTATAATGCAATTTAGCATAACAAATGTACATATTTCATGTATGAATACCATATTAACGTGAAATTGTAAAGTTTACAGTTTTGTTCATACTGAAGAATGTACATGATGATCAGTGTATCCATATGTATTATGTATGTACGTATAATGTGTGTCCAAATTTCTTGGCCACCTTAAGTGGCTATAATGTTTGTGTATTTAAGTTTAGGAAGAAGTGACTTCTTTTGAAAAGAACAGGATGAAGTGAGAGCTCATGTGGGAGAAGTAGATACAAGCAAGAAATGCAATATATATATATATATATATATATATATATATATATATATATATATATATATATATATATATATATATATATATATATGTGTGCGTGTGTGTGTGTGTGTGTGTGTGTGTGTGTGTGTGTGTGTGTGTTTGTGTGTATTCTCTTATTTGAATTATGCCCTCTATTTCCCAGTATTAATGCTTGCATTTAACATTGGATTTAAGCAATACTTTATTTTTAAGTAGAAAATTTTCTTAGTTATTTTGGCCATATGACTCTAAAAGAAAATAACAAACTAATTTGTAGCAAATTTAAACAGAGTAACCAGATTATATTGTTATTGCAAGTTAGCAAAAATGCTTAATTACTCTTCATCAACTTTGTTAATTTAAATTTTGTTTTAAATATACTTTCTAAAAGTTCACAATAATGGCAATTTGAAAGCTATCTCAATGCATTTGAAACAACTCCTGTACCATGTACATGAGGGCAAATGCACAAGTGTCTTCAGATCAATCTTGTTCATCCAAATTTCTTTGTTGCTGATAAAACATTACTGTAACTATTCATAAATAACACACTAAAATGCATAAAATTACAGACATGGCTCCTTTATATTTGGTATATGAACCAAACCATTCTTTTCAACCAAATGAACACAGACATGTGAGTGATTCTATCTTTTTGAAGGAGGGGTTTCCACAATGCATCCACCCACTCACTTCATTACAATAGTCCATTAATTGGATTGTAAATTTACTGTTTACAGATTTGTCAATATACTGTAAGTAACTTTAGGCATTGGCTAAATGGTATCTGGTTCACTGCTTTTATCTGTATTTTAACAAATATGAGTCAAGTCAGAAAACAACTTTGACCTCACAGATTATTTTGCTAATTCCACAACACAGCATTGCCCCATACGTTTCTGACCAACATAATTACATTTATGGTTAAATCTTAAAGAACACAATACCTCCACTTGGCTTTATATGAAATGAATATTTTTCAGATTATATCTGCACAATGATTTACAAATTCAAGCATAATTCCGGGGGTCATGCTACCAGGCAAAATGGGCGACTAAGTCACCTAAAAACTTCACTTTTTTCCGCAAGGAGAGAAAAACTGACTTTACCCTGTGATTACTTTTTGAGGTACATTGACCAGGCCTTTTGATACGCCCCCTCACCTTAGCTGGGTTAGTTCTAGTGTTGCCTTGTAGTGAAATGCATTCATCAATCCATCAGTAGCAAGGATGGTTCTCATATCAATTACACTGACAAAGTCCTGTACATTCACAGGCATGTGTTTTGTTAGTTGATTGACCATTAACCCTTTCCCAAGTAAATTGCCAACTATCATTGACCGACTTTTGGATGT